CACCAAACGGTCGATTTTGGGAAGTGGGAAACAGTCCTTTGGGCAAGCTCGATTCAGGTTGGTATAGTTGACACACATGCGCCACTTACCGTTGGCCTTTTTTACCAGAACGGGGTTAGCCACCCAGCTCGGGTAATGGACCTCCCTGATGAAATCGACTGTAAGGAGTTTCCCAACCACCTCGTCAACTATTTTCCAGCGCTCTAGGGCTAAGTTGCGTTTCTTCTATCTAACAGGCCTAACTACAGGATCAGTGTGCAATTTGTGAGTGATTATGCTAGGGCCTATGCCGGACATTTCTGCCGTGGACCATGCAAAAACATCTAAGTTTAGAAGTAAGAAGCTTACCAGCTGAGATTGCAGAGGCTCCTCAATCGAAGCGCCGATCTGGAGAGTCTTGGTGGGATCTTCCTCTAAAACGGGTATAGAGGTCGTCTCTTCTATTGGTGAAGCTCGCTCCTCATGGTACTCTGTTGGTCTCTCCAACTCGAGGTCATCTGCTGCCTTGGCTTTCCCTTTGAGGGCGGCGACGTAGCATTTGCGAGACTCGAGCCGGTCGCCTCGTGCTACCCAAACTTCGAAGTCCGTGCAGAACTTCATGGCCAAGTAATAGGTGGACACCACTGCGCGTAGAGCGTGGGTGATAGGCCAACCTATTATGGCGTTGTACGGGGAGGGAGTTGCAACCACTAGGAAAGTGTGGTCGAATCTCACTATGCTAGGCTAGGTACCGACCTCCACAGGTATTGTGACACTTCCCAGGGGCCTGACTTCCTCTCCGTTGAAGCCTACCAAGGGAGTGTTTGCAGGCTAGACATCGCTCTCCTGAAGTTGCAGCTTGTCGAATGCATCTTTGAAAAGAATGTTCGTTGAGCTGCTGGAGTCAACTAGGACACGCTTCACCTCGAAATCATTAATTCTCATCTTTATGACAAGCATGTCATCGTGGGGGTACTGGACTCCGTGCGCGTCATCTTCGGTGAAGAAAATGGGTTCTTCTAACCTTAGTCACTTCGAAGGATTATGTTCTTCTCTTTCGATCTCACGAGCTGACGTGTTCGCCGTGGTTGAGGAGCAGCCCGCAACAACCGATCTGTCGGTGATCATATGTATTACTCCTCTCGAATTGGCCTCTCTTCGGGCAACTGTCTCTGCGGCTGTTCGTTCTGCCTATTGCTGGATTCGGGGGCATCTCTATTTTGCTCCCCCTGCCAATCTGTTTAACTTTTATTATTATTTAGTACAAAATTTTTCAGATATCTGTGACAGATGAGTTCTTTTATCTCGTCGCGGAGGTTCTTACAATTTTCGGTGCTATGACTGTGATCTCTATGAAAGTGGCAGTATACATTTCTGTTCCTTGTGTTTGGGTCTCCTCTCATCCGAGGTGGCCACTTCACGTAAGAAGCATCATTGATCGCCAAGAGAATTTATGCTCGCTTCGCGTTCAAGGGAGTATAATTTCTTTCAGTTTGAGGAGCTCGAGAATGCTGATCCGGTTTTCCTCCTCGAACTGGCTCGTCTTTATTTCTTTTGTTGTCCCCGTTAGTTGAGGTCTCACTTTCTCTTTTTCTCTTCTCTGGTGGATTCTCGCTCTTCTGGTTCATCTCTTCCTCTGTTCCGATGAACTGGTCAGCGAACTTGAGAAACTCTGTGACATCTTTTGGTTTGTTAGCGACCACGTGCCACTTGAATTCCTTGTGGGTGATTCCTCTCTTTATAGCTGTAAGTCTCACAGCGGGGTCTAGATCGGGAATCTACAAGCATGCATCGTTGAATCTCTTGATGTAGATGCAGATAGATTCTCCTTCTCTTTGGACTATGCCGATGAGGCTTTCCTGGGACCTCAGACACCTCTTACTATTAATGAAGTGTGAGGTAAAGATCTACACGAATTGCGCCCAACTCTTGATTGTCCCGGGCGCAAGGTTTCTATACCATGTGCGAGCTACCCCCTTAAAAGTTGTGGAGAAAGCAACGCACATGCAGGATTCATCTGCTCTGGCCAGGTGCATTTGAGACTGAAATGAATCTACGTGGTCGTTTGGATCGAACGACCCATCATACTTGTCTAAGGGAGGTACCTTGAAATCCTTTGGCATTGGAGTGGCCAAGAGTTCAGGAGAGAGAGGAGAAGGCACGGAAAGGAGTGGAGTGGTCTTCATGGTCCCCGAGCTCGCCTCTTCTTTTCCCTTAGGCAATTCGGGGGAGTTCTGGACTGCTGCTCGGCGAGCTCTGTGGCGTTTGCTGCCTCTTCACCGGCTTCGCGTTAGTGCTACTAGCCTCAGTATTGTCAGGTACCGTTCTCATTGGCAACTGCTCGAACTGCTGACGACAAATGCTGTGAACTGAAGGGCCTTGTTGAGAGTCCGCGGCCAGAGCCCCAAACCGGTTCTCCGTGATTGGAACTTCGAATTGTGAAGGCCGAGGTGAAGTGGGCCTGGTGGACTGGGTGCCTCCCGACCTATTTACTTGCTGCGAGGTGGGAGCAGTAATCTGTCTCTCCCTCATGTCGCGGGACGAGACTTGACTCCCCATAAGGTTCTGAATTTGGGAGGTCTCTCCCTGGCGAGGAGGGCGTTCGCTATAGCGGCGAGACTTGGTTTGCTGCGTAGCCGGATACCGAGGTGGAACTGGCTGTTGATTCAGCGGCAACGGAGGGAACTGTTGCTGGTACTTCTACTGATAGACATGGTGGAGGACTTGCTGCTGGTACAACTGGAATTGCTGGACCTGCTGCATTTGGGCCTACATGGCCCGCATGCAGTGCACCAGGTCGTCGAGTTGATTTTGTTCGACCACCGGAGGAATAACAAAGGGCTTTGCAAAGGTCGTACCTACTGCAGAAGGGAGTGGTGCAATGACTTGGAGTACACTCAGCGTGGGGACCCCATCTGCAGAGAGGGGTACAGTGAATTGTCCAATGCACATGGTTGGAACTTGGAATTGGCCCCCAGAGACATTCATGTCAGTGTTGCGTCCGGCGTTGTTGGAAGAAGCCATTGGAACGGGATATGAAATGCTTTGTGAAAAAAGGCTTTTTTAAGCGTTCCCACAGATGACGCCAATTGATGCTGCGTAATCTGCTGCTCCTAGCTGGCGGTGGCTTAGCTTCCTGTAGACGACGGATGTGGAGAATCTGTACAGAAAATTAGAGAACCCGGGGGTGCTTACCCAGCGAGGTCGCTCCGATGCTTAAGTCAGTATATGCGAGCTGTGAGTAATTAGAGGGCAAGAGAGCTAGTAAGCAGTAATTGCGTGTACCTTTGGACCCTGGGAGGGAGGCCTTTATATAATGGAGTCCTTGTGGGCTTTACAGAGTAGTTCCGTGATCTTTGCCATGATAGAGTCTGTTTCTGTGTTATTTGGAGATAACGTTATCAGTTGATAAGGCTAATCACTTCCACCAGAATCGAACGGGGAGATAATGCTTAGTTGTTGCAAGACGTGATACCGCGGAATTCGGGAACTGTTGGAGTGACTTTCGGGATTACATCGAGGGCAGATCAACACACTCGAGCTGGTTTCCCCTCGAACTGATGTTCCCGAGCTAAGGCTCGTACACCGAACTAAATTAGGTACTGGTGCCGCGACTTGGTACCGAGGTGCCCTTAGCTCGGGGTGATCTCAGCTCGAAGAATTTTAGTTCGGGGTAGCAGAGTATTACTTCGTAGCAATCTGGTTATGCTGAGTTGTCACCTATGTCGAGTCACGTCCACATGTCCCCTTATTACGAGGTCGGGCCAAATCACCCTCCATCAGGTGTCATATTTAAATAATAACTATTAAAATATATAAATTTATCACATTAAACAAAAGATAAGTGTTATAAACAAGAACTATTTTTTAAAATAAATTACAAAAAAATAATAAAAAATTTAAAGTTGCACAAAAATGAGATATTTTTTCTTTCAAATCAAATGGTTAACAAATGATGTCATTATTATACAATAAAAACTCAACAAATTGATAAAAACAAAAGAATAGAAAATACAAAAAATTGTGCACATAACCAATACCATACATTTATCATATTAAACACTAATAGACATGTATTAACAATGAAAATGAAAATAAAAAATTTAAAT